GAGAAAACAAAAGATAAATATAAATATTTAAATATTATGGAAATACCAACTTTACCACGTGAAGAGGTTATTGCATTAATTATCAGGTGGGTTTTTATAAATGCACAGTAATAGTGATAGTAATAGCAATAGTAATAGTAATGGTAATGATGATAGCAATGGTAATGGTGATAGCAATGGTATGGTGATAGCAGTGGTAATGGTAATAATAGTAATAAAGTTATTATTTAAATTTCATTTTCATGTATAAAAAAGAAAATTTTAATAAAAATAATTTTTTATTTTATTTTTTTGTGTGCGATGAAATGGATCAGTTTGATGAAGTATTTTATTTTAATTTGAATTGATTGATTCTATAATATTAATTTATAATACATAATGTTTAATATATCATTTTAATATATAACATTTAATATATAATGTTTAATGATAATATATAGTCAATTATGTGAATATGGCTATACACAATTAGCAGAAATTATAGCAGAACAAACAGATAATCAAACTAGCTTAACACCTAGTTCCAAATTGTCAGAATTACTTTACATTGCAAAAGAGCAGGGTAAGTAAGTATGTAATAATAACAACACATGATATATTGTAAAATCCACATTAATAATTTCTTTTTTTTTTTTTTTTAGATGAAGGTGGTGATGAGGAAATGAGGCCATGTGAAATGTTAATTGATGATGATGTTGATGATAATGATAATGATAATGATGGAGTCTATGTTGCTGCTGCTTCCGCTGATGATGATGATGATGTTAATAATAATAATAATAATAATGGAGTTTTACCACATTCAAAATATCTAACATTTATTGATCCAGAAACCAAAAATAGTAATAACTGATTAATTAGTTAATTAATAATGTTATATTTCATGGAAGTAATTGGGTTATTTTTTCTTTAGCACCAAGACCTGCACCTAATTATTCAACTTGGTACATGACTACTCATAGAGCTGCTTCTATATGTGCTATCTTTAGCGGTGATGGTATGTATGTAACTAATTCACTTATTTATTCATTTGCTCAATTTATTTATCCATAACCATATTTTTATATTATCAGGAAAATATGCAGCAACTGGGTCTGCTGATGCTTCACTTAAAGTTTTGGACACAAGCAAAATGAATAGCCGTTCTGATGAGGACAGACCTGTCATACGAACATTATATGATCATCTTGCTGTAAATATTTGCTTAATTTTCAATATGATGATTGTTTTGATTATCTTTTTGATCTTATTTCTTTTGAACTTGCCCTTTGTTTTTATTATAGCCTGTTAATGATTTATCTTTTCATCCAAATGGATTGGTACTTGCTTCTTGTTCTGATGACAAAAGTATAAAGTTGTTTGATTTGTCTAAACAAGGAGTTAAACGTTCTTTTAGATATTTACAGGTTTGTTATTTATGATTTATTATAATTATAATTACAATTATTTATTTATTTTTATTTTTATTTTTATTTTTAGGACACACATGTTGTAAGATCCATTGTATTTCATCCTTCAGGAGATTTTATATTAGCAGGTTTTTTTTTAATATTGGTGAAGACTTTTTAATTTACAAGAACTATTATTAAATAAATTATAAATATACTCATATATTCATATGTATAATATATATTTATTATATGATAACAATAATAATAGGAACAGATCATGAATCTGTAAGAGCTTATGATGTAAAAAATTTTCAATGTTTTACAGCATCTACTTCACCTTCCGATCTTCATAAAAGTGGGATTACAAAGGCAAATAAATGATTTTCTAAACTATTATATATTTAATATATTGTGTTGACTTTTTTTTTCTTTATTTTATCTTCCAATATGTATATAGATCAGATTTTCTTCAAATGGGTCTCAATTTGTCACATCATCACTTGATGGAAGTATAAAAATATGGGACACAATTAATGGAGGTTGTATAAAAACCATTGAAAATGCTCATGATGGTGCACCTGTGTCAAGTGTAAAATTCTCTAAAACTGGGAAATACATACTTTCTGGTGGAAAAGATTCGACTGCTAGATTATGGGAAGCTGATAGTGGAAAATTGATTTTGAAATATGAAGGTGTTGTTCACAAGGTAATGAATTGCTTATTCTAAATGATCTAAATGGTTGCTAATATAACAACAAATCTTGTTCTTTTAGAATCAGTCCTTACAGACAACATTTACTTATAATGAAGATTATGTTCTTAGTAGTGATGAATTAAACAATACAATCATTTGTTGGGATTCACGTACAGGTCTTTTACTTAAAAAATGGGGAGGTGAAATATACAAATCTAAATATTGGTATATTTATGATATGGGAACAAGAAAAAATTAAACCAAAGTTTTCTTTAATAGGACATACAAATATTATACGATGTATTGCAGCTTCACCAACTGAACCTGGATTTATTAGTTGCAGGTAAAAAAATTTAATTTCAATTGGGTTGTTTGATTTATTTTGGGTTTTTTTAACATTTTGTTTTAAATATTATTATTATTCCAAAAGTGATGATTTTCGTGTCAGGTAATTATTAATTTAAAAAAATATAGGAAAAATAATTTATATATTAATATTTTTTTGTAAATACAAAATTATAGATATTGGAATTTAGATTGATTTTTTAATGCTTTTGCTTCTCTTTAACTAACTTACATTAATGATCTATTATTATTATGTAATAATAATAAAAAAATCATAAATACTTGCTTTGTGATAAAAAGAAATTCAAAAATTATTATTATTAAAATTTTGGGAAATTCCTACAAGGGTAAGTTCAACTTGCCAAGATATTGGTGGTTTTGAAAATTACGTCAGATAAAGTGGATAGGAAATTGTAGGGGTCTAAATTAATTGATATCCTTCATAAAAATCACCTTGTCCTTGACTTTGCTGTTCAGGTTTTATTCAATTGGCTTTTATTTGCTTTAGCTAGGCTTGCATTCTGTTTGACCTTTTATTCAGTTAATTCTTGGATAATGTTTGTTGTTTGTCTATTTCAGTTTCTTGTGCTCTAATTTTTAATTTTTGCTTTTAGTTTCTGAATAGTATTTTCATTTTTTTTTTCATTTAAATGTTCTATCATCTAATTGTTGTTTTGCTTGCTTTTCTCTTTTTGCACAATCATCTTCTAAATCTTTATTTTCTTATCCTTTTATATCCTTATTCTGTTGATTTACTAATTTTTGCTTCTGCTGTATCTTATTGTTTTTATTATATATGTCTTGTTTTCCTGTTTTTCATTGCTAGTTTCTTTTGACTACTGGCTAAATTTTTGATATTTGGCTTTGTT